GGTAAAGCATTTACATAGGCTACCATGTAATTGACTTCGATCATCCAGGCTTTTGGGTGCTTGTTGCAGATGGAGAATGAATACACTGGTGATTCTCATTGATGCCCACGAAGGGGTTAATATACAGGTACATAGGCTGGTAACAACCCAGCCATACATGAGGTCATGCACATCGTGTAACAGAAAAGGAGGGCACATCCGGTGCATGAACTACGTAGGACTCAGTCCTCTAGTTGAGGCAGCAACGGTAGTCTTCCAACAGCCCCCCGCAGCCACAACGGGGTCGTCGAGCACGTTGAGGCTGGACCGGAAGTTGAGGAAGACGGTCAAGGGCAGCCCCTTCGTGAAGATATCAGCGAACTGCGACGCGGATGGGACGTGAAGGACGCGTACATCACCGAAAGCAACCCGCTCACGCACGAAATGAAGGTCGATCTCGATGTGCTTCGTGCGCTGATGCTGCACGGGGTTGGTGGAGAGGTACATGGCGCTCACGTTGTCGCAGTAGACGATCGTCGCTCGATCCGGAGGACGCCGCAGCTCGTGCAGAAGTTGATGCAGCCAGCACGCCTCGGCCACGGCATTGGCCACCGCCCTGTATTCCGCATCCGCGCTGGACCGGGAGACGGTCTGTTGCCGCTTGGAGGACCAAGAGACGAGGTTGTCGCCGATGAAGATGCAGTAGCCCGACGTGGACTTGCGGGTGTCAGGACAACCCGCCCAGTCGGCGTCAGAGTATGCAACGAGGCGGTGGTCGGAGGAGCACCGGAGGTGAAGGCCGAGCTGCGGTGTGCCACGAATGTAACGCAAGATGCGCTTGAGGACGGTGAAGTGCGGCTCCCGGGGATCATGCATGAAGAGGCAAACCTGTTGGACGGCGTAAGTGATATCGGGCCGGGTGAGAGTGAGATATTGGAGAGCGCCGGCCAAACTGTGGTAGAGGGACGGGTCAGAGACAGGAGCACCATCGGTGGCGGAGAGTTTTGCGCGAGTGTCGATGGGGGTGGCGATGGGCTTGCAATTGCTCATGTGGGCGCGTTCAAGGATCTCGAGAGCGTATTGGTGTTGCGAGAGGAACAAGCCGCGGGAGCTACGTGTGACATTGATCCCCAGGAAATGATGGAGCTCGCCTAGGTCAGTCGTGGAAAACTCGTTGTGGAGTTGTGAGATGACGTGGTGGAGCAAGGAGGCGGAGCTGGCAGTGAGGATAATGTCATCGACGTATAATAGGAGATAAGCGTTGGCGCCGTCGCGGTGAAGAATGAAGAGGGAAGTGTCACTCTTGGATGCAACGAAGCCGAGACACGCGAGGTAGGTGGTAAAGCGCTGAAACCATGCTCGGGGGGCCTGCTTGAGCCCGTAGAGTGAGCGATGCAGGCGGCACACGTGAGACGGGTGCGCAGTGTCGACGAAACCGGATGGCTGCTGGCTGTAGACGACGGTGTCAAGGTGGCCGTGAAGAAAAGCGTTCTTCACATCCAGTTGATGGATGGCCCAGCCGGCCGAGACGGCGAGGCTGAGGACGACGCGGATGGTCGCCGGCTTGACGACGGGGCTGAAGGTCTCCGCGAAGTCGACGCCGTGTTGTTGAGTGAAGCCGCGCAAGACCCACCGTGCCTTGTACCGAGCGAGGGAGTCGTCGGGGTTCAGCTTGTGGCGAAAGATCCATTTCCCCGTCACCATGTTGACACCTGCAGGGGGAGAAACCAACGACCAAGTCTCGTTTTGTAACAAAGCAGTGTACTCCTCAAGCATCGCGTGGTACCAGTTTGGGTCTTTGAGGGCGTGTTTGTAGGAGGAAGGGAGAGGAGAGATGCTATCGGTGGCGGCTGTGAGGGTGAAGAGAGATTTTGGTTGGAGGAATCTGGCTTTGGCTCGTGTGCGCATTGGGTGGATGTTTTTGGGTGGTAGAACGGGC